GTGTGTGTGTGTGGTGTGTGTGTGTGTGTGTGTGTGTGTGTGTGTGTGTGTGTGTGTGTGTGTGTGGAAATGTTTTGAATATGTATGAGGACGGAGATGGACGATATGAATGTCAGCATGTGTGTACTCATCTGTTTGTGGTTGTAAGGGTTTAGTCACAGCTCCTGGTGTGTGTACTCAATTGTGGTTGCAGGGGTCGATTCATAGTCCTGGTCCTGCCTTTTCACTGATCGCTACTAGGTCACTTTCCCTGCTCCATGAGCTTTATCATACCTCTTCTTAAAACTATGTAAGGATCCTGCCTCCACTACGTCCCTTTCCAGACTATTCTGTTTCCTGACAACTCTATGACTGAAGAAATACTTCCTCACATCCCTTTGACTCATCAGTCTTCAGCTTCTAATTGTGTGTGTTGTGTGTGTGTGTGTGTGTGTGTGTGTGTGTGTGTGTGTGTGCGTGCGTGCGTGCGTGCGTGCGCGTGTGTGTGTGTGTGTGTGTGTGTGTGTAGGTGCACGTAAATACATGCGTTGGAACAGCAGATAGCATAAATATTAGTCCATAGTGAAGCTATCAGCTACCTCTTATTTCTGTGTTACAACCACACTGTCAGCTTGAGAAAGTGCTTAACACATTACCTGAAAGATGTGTGTGTATATTTATTATATATATTTATATATTATATATATATATATATATTTTATATATATTAATATACAATGTGTCTTTCGATATAGGTAAAACTGGTCATTTAGCAAGAAATAGTTTAAAATTATTCAGTCCTTTCTAAAAATTTCTCTTATACGTTTAAAGATATATATTTTTTTCATTTATGTTAATATAAAAATTAATAATTTTGTACCGAAAGAACCTTAGAAAACTTACCTAACCTTACTATAACAAGCGCAATTTAATTTAGCCTAATCCAACTAAATATATATTTTAAATAAATTTACAATACTTTTAATATTAAACACAATGAAATATATGAACATCAAAATGGTATAAAATACCGACAGGTTGGTAGTAAGATACATAAGCAACTTTATTCCGAAACGTATCGCCTACGCAGTAGGCTTCTTCAGTCGAATACAGAAAGTAGGCAGGAACAGTAGAGATGTGAAGACGATGTAATCAGTCCATCACCCTTGAAGTCGTAGAATTTGAGGTTGTCAGTCCCTCGGCCTGGAGAAGTTCAGTTCCATTGTCAGGAACTATCTGGAACTATCAGGAACTATCAGATAGTTCCTGACTATGGAACTGAACTTCTCCAGGCCGAGGGACTGACAACCTCAAATTCTACGACTTCAAGGGTGATGGACTGATTACATCGTCTTCACATCTCAACTGTTCCTGCCTACTTTCTGTATTCGACTGAAGAAGCCTACTGCGTAGGCGATACGTTTCGGAATAAAGTTGCCTAGCTGTTGCTTATGTGTCTTACCTACCAACAATGAAATATATTTTTTTCGTTAGGTTCAGAATGATTTTTGCGAAATTATTGCATACGCACGTTTTCGCTTGCCTTATTCGGCAAGAAGAGCGTTGCTACTTAAACCAAAATCGCAAGTTTTACCTATTCGGCACTACACACGCATACACAGATTAATTAACTTTTCACCACCGCCACACTCACTGACCTTCCTCTCTGCCCTCACACCAGAGTTCCCTATACTCGACTGGAGTATTCGGTGGGACGACCACCTGCGGGTGTGCTTTAGCCAGCCTGCAGGAGCCGCAAGCTACGAACTGGGACTACAGAAGGGTGTCCAGCACCTAGAGACCACCTCCCAAGCACCGATCGACACCCAAGACGCAGTTGAGACCTGTGTACTCAGCACTGAAACCATTGACGTGGGGGCTTACATTGACTTGTGGATGCTAGTCACCGCCTATGACTTCGATGGCAATATCATAGCCTCAGGGGAGCACACCTGGAGCGCCATCTGTGAGTACCGTTGTTATATACACATACATCCAGGTTCCTTTCTTGGTCTTAACAAATGAAGCGAACCGTTTCTTTCGATCGAATCCCACCGAGTCCCTTTCCTCAGTGTCTAGTGCTCCTTCCTCATGACTGTAATAATACTAACATCAATAATGGTATAATAATAATTACTGCTACTAATAATATTAATATACTGTTAATATGTAGTCCTGAGCTCAGGATATAGAGTCCAGGCAGCCATTAAGGACTCCAACATCATCGCCACCTGGCATTTGATCGACGATGTCTCGACCATCGACAACTTCAACGTCATCCTGCGCTCTGTCGATAGCGAAAGTACCGTCACAGTGTCGAGCGAGATGTCAACGTACGTGCTAAACTCAGTAGCGCCAGGGACGTACGCGGTGTGCGTGAATGCCTTGAAGCAGCTGTCCAAGACAGAATCTGTGCAGAGCGAAGAAGTGTGTAGCGACATCTTGGTCGTCTCTGACACTAGTAAGTACATTTATGCTATGTTGTACCTACAAATTGAACAAGACACAAGCGCACCACTTCGGTATATTTATAAGAACATGGAGGAACACTGCAGCAGGCCTACTGACCCATACAAGGCAAATCCTTTTCAAAACCACCCACGATTTCTCCAACCTTCCCCCAAATCTACCTAAGAATTTGTTTCAGGTACTACTCGCAACAGGTCTCTTCGGTAAGATACAGCAGAACAGAATACTGGAAACAACAGTAGAAGGGAACTAATCACGTTTAAAAATAGTATTACTAGTACTGTTTTGATGAGAAATGGTATGGTGATACCGACAAGTTGTGGAAAAAGACACTTGTGTACAGTTTAGGAGATTTATTAAAGGAAACGTTTCGCCACGAGTGGCTTTTTCAGTCCTAATACAGAGATAACTAAGAAAACGAGCATATATAGTGGCAGGAGTCAAGTGAAATGTTGCGTGGGTAGCCCTGGTAGTAGATGGCTGTCCTGTCGACCTCATTTTGTGTTTTGTGTGTGAGTGTATCTATATTGGCGTGATTGATGAGTTGTGTAATGTCGTCTGCATAGGCTAGTGTGATGGAGTTGTGGTATACAGGTGTTGGAATGTCGTTAGTGAATAAAATGTAGAGGGTAGGGGAGAGGACAGATCCCTGGGGTACTCCAGCATTTAGTGTGAAGTAGTCAGAGTAACAGCCTTGGAATTTGATTCTCATGGTACGGCCGTCTAGGAAATTGTAGGAGTTTACGAGTAATGAGAGGCACGTTAAAGTTAGTGCAGAGTTTGTACTTGAGCCCTTCGTGCCAGACAACGTCTTTTGCAACCAGGACTGTCCTGTTTCTTTGTTTTGTGTTATGTGGATGTAGTTGAGAATGATGTTAATGGAATCCTGTGTGGATCTGTGTGTTCTGAAGCCAAACTGGCCATCAGAAAGTAGAGAGTTGTGTTCCAGGTATCTGCGAAGGCGATGGCTGATGAGTTTTTCAAAGAGTTTTCCTAAAGTTTCGAGGAGGCTGATAGGGCGATAGTTTCTAGGGTCAGAGTGGTCTTTATTGGGTTTAGGAAGGAGGATAGCAGTAGCAGCTTTGAAGAGGGAAGGGAAGTATCCAGAGGCAAGGGAGGCATTAAGGAGGTTTGTATAGACAGTAATGATAGTCAGAAGGTGTTTTAGGATAATATGGTTAGGCCAGAGGCACCAGGGGCCTTGGGAGGAAGGTGTCTGAGGAGAGTTTTAATGTCTGTGTTGGTGAAAGGAGTGTCGAGTTCTTGGGAGGAGGTAAGAGAGTCCAGATGGATGTGGCTGTCTGGTGTTGTTTCTTGTGTGTGTGCAGTGTTCCAGTGTTCTATGTTCTGAATGTGTTGAATAACGTTAGGGTGAGGTGGGTGAGCGTGGAAGATATTCTCCCAGATGTGTTTGAAGATGTTGGTAGCAGCCTGCGGGTCTGAAATGTGTGTGTTGTTGTGGGTGATGTGTTTGAATTTGTTGGTGGGAGTTGTTCCAGAAGGCTTTAGTGTTTTTAATATGTTGTTTGTCTGCTTGTAGTATGAGCTGTGACCAGTGATTGTTGTGGTCTTGGTCTAGGCTGTGTAGAATGTTGTTTCTAAGGGGTTCCGGACACTTCTCCGCGCGGAGTAAAAAAAAAAAAAGAAAACTCGAAAAAATACCAAAATTGAGTTATTGTTACCTAAAAATATAGCTGAACTTTCTGGCTACACTCTGGTATAATCATTATCCTTGTACGATGTTTCTAAAAGGAATTATAGTCATTTATAACAGGCATGGTGACAGCGCCTTGTGTACCAAGCGCTGACGCGGCATTCCCCCCCCCCCCCCCGTGTTTCTATCGTTTTCTTATATCTTTATGACTAATATATCTCAATACATAGTCAGTACCAAAGTCATTATATTAGACCATAGTGTAATTACTAGTGAGAGCCTGGTGCTATTTTTAATTTGTATTTTTATATTATTAGTTTAAAACCTAGTTGTATATAGCTCATTCTAGCTCAATACATAGACTATACCAAAGTCATTACATTAGACCTTAGTGCAATTACAAGTGAGAGTCTTGTGCTATTCTTAATTTGTATTTTTATATTATTAGTTTATACCTAGTTGTACTTTAGCTCATTCCAGCACAACACATAGACAACATCAACTTCATTATGTGTATTAGGGACTAACTCTACAGACCAAAATACTCTGCTATTACTTGTCCAAATTTCCCCTCCCAAACTACAGATATCAGTACTAAAACTCAACACACAACTCAGGATATAAATAACCTTTAATTTAAACCTAGAAGATGATTGATCATGTTGACCCTGATCTAAACCTCCATAATCTGACACACAATCAAAACCTTTGGAAAGTAATGCCTTTACTAAAACAGTTCACAAGCCAGCACTATCCTAAACAATGATAAAAGTCTATCAGTACTTAACTACAACATCAGGTCCTTAAGCCAAACACTATGATGACCTCCTAGCACTCCTTGAATCACTAAGACACCCTTCTCCTGCATTATTCTTACTGAGACCTGGCTTAAACAGGACACAATAGATTATCTACCCTCTACCAGGATTTCACAGCAATCCACAACTGCAGACCAAACCAAGTTGGGGTGGTATTGCAAACTATTACTCTAACCGTTATCTTGTATAGCACCAATTGCTTTAGTGGATGAATATGGAGAATAAAATTTTTGCTAATTTTTACTGTAAAAAACTTAAGATGCCCTTTTTAAAAATCGGTGCCATTTCGGATACCTCACACAAACATCCCCAAAATTCAGTGGGGAAATTAAAGGCACTAATAACAAACAGACAATGAATAAGCACCACCTTCTCTTAGCTTTTGACTTCAACATCAACCTTGGGCTATAGATGATCAGCCTGTAAGATTAGATTAAGATAAGATAAGATTTCGTTCGGATTTTTAACCCGGAGGTTAGCCAACCCCGGTAACCAGAAAGCAGTGCGTCATCGAGGACTGCTAATTTTTTCCATTGGGGGCCTTAATCTTGTTCCCCAGGGTGCGACCCACACCGGGACAACACCCCGGTACCTATTTGTGCTAGGTGAACAGGCAACGTGTAAGGAAAGTGTCAAATGTTTCCCCCGCCCGGGGAACGAACCCCCGGGCCCCCCCGTGTGTGAAGCGGGGGCTTTAGCCCCCCAGCCACCGGGGCCCCTTTCTCAAAAATATGAACAACACACTTTTCATACCAACAAAACTAAAAACCAACCCGGTCACTGAAAAAGTGAACTTAATGACCACTTGGACCTATATTGCCCCCCCTTAAATCAGGGATTTTCCAGTGCCCAGACCCCCTACCCCACCCTTCCCCTTGACAAACTTAGAAAACCCCCTTTATACAACAAAGTTCATTTAGCTCCATGATGAGGCCAATAAGGGGGTTCACAGCTGACCTGAGATGTTGTGGCCTACAGAATTTCCAAGGCCATGGTTTGATGAGGACAGACATTTTTCTTAAAAAACTACTTGCTAAACAACAAAATTGCCCTTTAAAAAAACAAAAACAGACACAAAAAAAACGGTTGGTTGTCCATGGCTAACCGCACATCTAAACCCATTGACAAAAACCCCAAATTGAAAAGAAATATAAGCAGGGTTTAAATACAAAAAGTTTATTAAACATATTTCGTCCTCACCAAAGTAATAAAGCCAAAAAAATATACTATCCAGAGATTCACTCACAAGGATATAAAAAAGCCCGGGAAAACCTCTCAGACTCTAGGGCCCCAAAAACAAAAAAAAAAAAGGAATATTGCCTACAAACCTAATAAACCATCCCAACCCCACTGACACAGCTAAAAGATAAAAAACTTCTCAAATAGGTTCAAATCTGAAATAAAATCCCACACAATGCCCATCCCGGGGACTACCTGAGGGGGTTTTTCCAATTCCTTCTATTTTGCTCCAACGGGGCCCACGGAATCCCCGAATTATAAAGTCACTTAAAAATAACTCAGGGAATCTGTTAAATCCCACCATTTTTGTACAAGAGAGGGGCCCCATGTCCTCTGCAATTTTCTCATTACTTTTTTTAAAAAGTCACTAGAAATACCCTTCCCCCAAAATTTTCAAACGGCAAGGGTTACACCAATAAAAAGGGGGTGACCCCCAGATTTAAAAATATAGGCCAATATCAAACTTACCATTGCATCCAAAAAATTTTTAGGGAAATCGTGCACGGGGAGTATTCATTTTTAACGCACAAAAATACCCAACCCCTGCCCTTTTGGGTTTAGGAAAAAAAAAAGCATTACGTGCAAACATAAAAAATGCAGATTGCTTTTTCACAGCATTGGAAAATAAGGGAAACCCCTAGGAATTTTTTTTTGACCTAAGAAAAACTTTTGACACAGTAACCACGGCATCCACCCACAAACTTTACATTATGGTATAAGAGGCCTGCGTTGCTATTTTTAAAACTTCCTTACAAAAGGTATCAGTAGCCCATTAAAGACACAGCTCAACAACACAGCCCTTGAACTGGGGTTCCCCAGGGGAAGGTCCTTGGTCCCTGCTCTTCCCTATACATCAAAGATTTCCCAAAAGTATCCGACACCTTAACCCCATTTCTTTTCTGACGACACGACTTTGTCATCTTCACCCCAACTTGCCACCTCAACCCATTGTTAATGGGGGCTGACAAAATATGTTGGATGACAGCCAATTAAATTACGCTTTTAAAGTTACAAAACCTCACATTTTGTTGGTGCAGAGCGGAGATCGCAAAAAAACATTAAAATCGACAACATAATTGCCAGGGTAATGAGGGGGAAATTCCTGGCCCAACCTCAACAACCTGAATTCAGCACCCTATCCCCAAATACCAAAAAAGTATCCAAAACGGTTGGGTCCCCTCCAAGATACAAAACTAAAGTGCCGCAAACTGCCTTTCACCTATCCATTCATTAATATCCAATACCCCCCTATCTATTGGTTTTGGGGTTCAAATGCCAAAAACACCTAAAACCAATAAAACCCAAAAAAAAAGCCCCGAAGAAATAATCCTAATCCCCTCCTGGGAAAAACCCCCCCACTTCAAGACTAAACTTATCCCGTTCGTACTCCACTTACTACTGTCAATCACATTCAGGGCCTTTAAATTCCAATATTAACCTTGACCCCAAACGCTTTTTTTGATAGTGTG